TTGTACCCTTAAAAAGAAATAGCAAATAAAAAATAAAATAAAATAAATAAATTAAAGATATTTAATCAATAAATAATATTTTGTACCCGTAAATAAAAAATAGCAAATAAAAATAATTTAAAATAAATGAAAATGTAATTTAATTAAATTAAAGATGTTTAATCTTAAAGAAAAAAAGCAAATACAAATAAAATAAAAAACTAAATTAAATTAAATATAAATAAATTAAATAAAAAAATAATTTAATTCAATAAAGTTACATTTAAATTAATTAAATAAATAATTAATTTAAATTTAATAAATTAAAAATGTTTAATCAATCAACTATACCTTGTACCCTTGTCAATAGAAAAATAAAAAAAATAAAAAAACAACAGTAAATAGTACAAACAGAATCTATTAAAGTTGTTTATATAAATATAACACAGACAGTTCAGCCACTTTTAACCACACAAACTATCAACAAAAAGGTTATTAGTAACAAACATGGATTCCAAACAAGCCAAACCAATGCAGTCCATCATGTTTATCTTTTGTACGGCGATTAGTTTAAACCTCTAACACACACAGACACAGACGTTCAGTCCTGAGATGTCCAACATTAAGCCAGAAGGCAGCTTTGTGGATATTTTCTCATTTAGTGGATGCTTTTCTGAAGGCGATGTGAGATAAGAGGCTAATAATCCCAGACGCAGCTCATTTCCACAGCCTCTTTTACAAGCAGGTGCTTTTGTTCGCATTTTAACACTAAATTTCAGCGAAGGCAATAATGACATTTCATCAAGGCTTCATTTATCCTACAAACACCTTCTGAAAACAGCAGAAAGTGCAGTTTTAAATGAAACCAGGCTGTGCACAAACAACTAATACTTTGAGTTAACTGTGAAGACCAAATTGAAAGCAACAGTTGGAAAATGAGGATAAAACACAAAGAAAACGAAACTGAAAACACATAACCTGTTAACTTTACTCCAGTGTTGAGGTTAAAGGAAAAAATCACTCTTATTAAAGGAACATTTCATTACTTTATTAACTTTTTCCTGTTGATTTAAGGACACTCAGAACATTGAAGAAGTACACTACCTGGCAAAAGTCTTGATGACTATCCAAGTTTTAGGAACAACATATAATAACTTGATTTCTAGTTGATCATTTGGTATCAGAAGTGGCTAATATGAAAGGCAAAGGCCTCTAGATTACGCTTATTTGACCAAAATAAAACATGATCATGCCTTGATTTTTTTATGATTTCATTAGGACAGTAAGGTCTGACTTTGCTTAGACAAAAGTCTTGTCACTGAACAGCAATAATGTCCAGTATAGAATATAAAGTCATGCTGCAGTGGAAACAGAATGAATATTGTGTCTGACTCCATCATGAGCTTGGAGGACTGCATCCATACATCTCTGACATGACTCAAATCACTGATTAATAAATTCATCTGGAATGGCAAAGAAAGTGTTCCTGCAGGTCTCCCAGAGTTCATCAAGATCCTTTGGATTCATCTTCAATGCCTCTAATGCTTCTTCATCTTACCACAGACATGCTCAATAATGTTCATTTCTGGTGACTGGGCTGGCCAATCCTGGAGCACTTTGACTTTCTTTGCTCTCAGAAACTTTGATGTGGAGGCTGAAGTATGAGAAGGAGCGCTATCCTGCTGAATCTGCCCTCTCCTGTTTTGTCGGTTTGTAATGTAATGGGCAGCACAAATGTCTTGATACTTCAGTTTGTTGATGTTCCCATCCACTCTGCATCTCTCACACACCCCCATACTGAATGTAACCCCAAACCATAATTTCTCCTCCACCAAACTTGACTGATTTCTGTCAGAATATTGGGTTCCAGTAGGTCTTCTGCAGTATTTGTAATGATTGGGATGCAGCTCAACAGATGATTCATCAGAAGAATCAACCTTCTGCTACTTTTCCAAATGATCTACTATAAGTCACGTTATTTTTTTTGCTCTTACAACTGGGATCAACGACAAGAATTTTGTCAGGTAGTGTAGATGTTATTTTTGTAGCGGAATATTAAAGATGTTTTAGAACCAAAACTGTGATCCTTGGTGATTCATAAACTGTTAGTTTATGAAAAAGTTATACCGACTTAAGTTACATTTTTTTTTAAATTAAGGTTATTATATACCCTTTAGACAAAAAAACTTTATTTTATTTTATTTTATTTTATTTTATTTTATTTTATTTTAGAGAGAGACTGATGGCATTTCAGGACGTTCAGCCTTATAATCTTAAAATTCGAGCAAAATCCGCTGTTTTGTCATCACTTCAGACATTACACTAGAGAATCATTCAGTCACTAGCTCTAACGTGACGTCTGCAAAGTAGCAATGGTTTCTGCTGTTCTGACGTCAGCTGCAGATGTGAATGAATGGTGGAAGAAAGTAGATCCTCATACAAAAGGGTGTTTGAGACTCTGCTAGATTTTCTTTTTTATACACACGATTATGCTGTTGATCTGTTGTATAAACGCAATATCACACTTGTAGCGCTGCGATATAGCTTATATATCGGCACTGGTGGAAAACTAAGGCACTCGGCCTGCTGCCTCAAGCCAACGCACACATCCAACCAGTGCAGATATACAGCCACATCGCACTGCTACAAGTGTGATATTACTCATATACATCTTATTTTTACACTAATATATATGATTATTATTATTATTATTATTATTATCATTATTATTATTATTCACCCTTTTTACATTTCCAGGTTTCTCAGTAGACGTCAGACGTCATAGCTGGCTAAACTGAGAGTGCAGTGAATGGGAGAGTACTGTACAACTAATTATTTTTTACATTCCTATTTGCTGAAATAATAAAAGAAAAACTCCATGATGATGTTATCAAGGCTTTCAGAACAACAGTGAGAGCAGCCAGAGGAGAGAATAAGGTCAAATTTACTCTCAGCCACATAGACACTGCATTGGAAACACCTCGCATAAGCGGTAATTCACTTTTTTATTGTCATTTAAAGCAAAGATTACATATAACACTTTTAAATAAATGTTCATACATTTCTTAAAAATATAAATTTATTAAAACTTTCAAGGATTTAAAATTATGATGACCGTTAAACGCGTCATAACAGGCTTGTGAAAAGGGTCCATTATTATTATTATTATCATTAAGCTAAACAAATCCCAACAAGGATTATCCTAAATACCCTCATCACTGTTTACTAAAGCCATGGATTAAACACAATGGGCTCTATTTTAACAATCTAAGTGCGATGTCTATATCACATGGCATTAAGGGCATGTACAAATCTACTTTTGCTATTTTAAGGAAGGAAAAATACGCTCTGCGCCCCAGCGCATGGTCTAACAGGGTTGTGCTTATTAGTTATGGGTGTGTTTTGAGCATAATATGCATCAAACCAATCAGAGTCTCATCTCCCATTTCCTTTAAGAGTCGGTTATGTTGTTCCATGGCGCATTTGCTATTTACATGGCGAATTTTGTAAGTGTAAAAACTGAACGCTTCACTAGTGAGAAAATGGTTAAACAGAGCATCTGCAGCACGAGGATAAAGAACAAGCCTCCTCCACTCAGCCTCTTTACTTTCTCTTTACTTTACTTCTACTCTTTACTCCTTTACTTTCTTGAAGAAACAGTGTTGTACTCACTCCACTGAAGACATTTATCAGCCTACATATTTAATTTTGTTTGCTATGCGCAAAGATTTGTTTCAAAACTATTTCTACATTCAGTTCTAATTTCCAGTAAACGAATAAATGAACAATTATAATAAAGTGTGGTCAAAAAACTGAGCTATATCCAAACATGTCCTATTCTTTTGCCCCTTATAGTGATGCAGATGTCTCCAAAACCCTACATGTGAAAATGACAAAATCTCTGTGCTTGACTTTAGTTGGTCAATGGCGCGGTCTATTTCAGTTCCTCAAAATAGCAAAGCTCCAACAATGTACTTTAAAGCCTGGTTTATACTTCTGCGTCAAGTGACCGGCGTAACCCACGGCGCATGCAACGCGCGTAGCTGTGCATTTATACTTCTGCGCGCTGTCTCTGTTGGTCTGCATTAACACTTCCGAAACGCTAGTGGGCAGTGAGGTGTAAATGTTCCTCTGTGTCGAGTTTCTTCACTGATGTTTTGCTTTTCCTGAACACTTCCGGGATGTACAAGTGGCTCAAACTCGCTCATTTTGAGGCAGGAACCGGCGGACGTGCAACAACTTTAACTATAAGTTAAACACAAAACAAAACTTTCCATCCGGAGCTCCTTCACAGGACTCCACACTTGTAAACAATCGCTCCATCAGGCTTGCACCATTCTCGAGGCTCTCGGTCCCGCCCAGACACGTCAGCGCTACCAAGCCGACCAATCACAGAGCTTGCGCTACGCGTCGTTGCAACGTGTAGTTAAATTTTTTGAGAGGTGCACGTCAGCGAAGGGCTATGCGTCAGCGCCGTAGCATACGCCGGCGTTTGATGCAGAAGTATAAATCAGCCTTAACACACCTCTTTTTTAGACAGGCACACCATGAGTAAACAAAGTGAGGCAAATGGGTTTGCTATTTAAACAACATGCCACAAAATGTGAAAATTACTGTTGCGCTGGTCTAAAAATAGCAACAAATCGCACCACACACATCTTGCACCCAGGGCCGGAGCAAGCTAAACTGCCGCTCTAGGCAGAGGACGATCATGCCGCCCTCAACCCCAATGTGAAAACGAAAGTGACCGGTTATGTAAATGAAGTGAGGTGTCGCGGACCTCTTTTCCAGCGCACTATGCGCGGATATAATTGAGGACGCGCGGGTGCTGAGGGAGGGAGGGAGGTGTCGTGGACACCACGCTCTCTATTCTGCCGCCCTATGCGCGGATATAACTTAGGACGCGCTGGTGTCGCGGACCTCAATTCTGCCGCCCTATGCGCGGATATAACTGAGGACACGCGGGTGCTGATGGAGGTGTCGCTGACGCCGCCCTCTCTATTCTGTCATCTATGCGCGAATATATTTGAGCGGCCGCCTAGTTCGCCTCTATGGACGCGCCGGCCCTGCTTGCACCTTATTATTATAGAGCCCGGTATGCTTCTCTTCACAAAACCTCAATGACTCTTCAACAGCCATTAGTTTTCTTCCACCAGTATGTGCTTTTTTCACTCAGAAAGCGCCGCTAGCCATTAAATTGCATTATATCACCAAGGAACACAGTTTACTGAAGAAAAAAACATTGCTTATGTGTCCTGAGAGTGAGTAAATGAACAGCAAACTTACATGTTTTTATGTGAACTGTCCCTTTAATGGAGTCGTCTTGACTCTTTGTCTGAACTGCAGCTCTGAGACACTCTTTACTTGTATGTGTTGTTTTGCCACTTCAGTCTCATGTTATTATTTCTCTGAGGGTTTTTTCTTCTCTGTCCTCATGGTGCTGAAGTGTCTGTGATCGTGCCGATGCCGTGATGCTCCAGCAGAGCTCCGAGAAGGGCATTTTCACTCTTCAGCTCTTCTACCTGAAACCAGAAAACACTGGATATGATTAATATTACAGGCAAAGATGGTTGTGTTCATACATTTTAGCTGCATTTATTGTTCTTCGTTTGCATTTCAGTTTATGCAGTCAATGACATTGAGCCAATGATCTTGGTATTCTTTGTGTTATTCTTTATACCTTACTCTATGAGCTAGGAAGGAGCAGGAAGGTAAATAAAATACAAAAAATAAATAAAAATTAAATAAAATAAAATATTAAATTAAAATAAATTAAATATTTTTGACCTTGCTATATGAGCCAGTAAAAAGTAGGAAGGTAAATAAAAATAAAATACATTAATTAATTAATTTCCTTTTCTGCTATTTTAATTTTTAATAATCTGGGGTCGCCACAGTGGAATGAACCGCCTAAAAGAAGAAAAAAAAATAAAAAATATATATATATATATATATATATATATATATATATATATATATATATATATATATATATATATATATATATATATATATATATATATATATATATATATATATATATATATATATATATATATATATAAATATATATATATATAT